ATCAAAAACCATCATGCTTCTTTTACTCTCCTAACATGCAATTCAATTATTTCAAAGGCATTTGGAGTTTTCAAGAATGTGATTTATATATAGGTACAAAAGAAGCTTACATGAAAACTGGTTAAGGATTCAAAGCACGAAAGCTCTGAAATAATAATCTTAACACCCAGACAAATGAGGAGGTATGATTTGCACAAAATACTTTAAATTATTTTGGTTAATTCTTCAAAATACTGTGCATGCTTATCTGCTTGCGGTGCACAAATGCATTCTCTTCACTATGTCATAGACATAGGTGATGTCCGGCCACTTCTCCAGATTGGGGTTGATGCACATATTAAATAACTGCCGTAATTCTTCTAAATAGTGCTCTGAAGGCAGATGTGAGTAGCTGCATGGTTCTATCTTCTTACACAGTGAGTATAAATTAATTTTGTCACCATAGAAAAGACTCTGGAATGCAGCCATGTCATATAGTAGACAGCCAAGAGACCAGATGTCAGATTTGAAGTTGTATCCATTTTCACGTATTCTCTCTGGAGACATGCAATAAAATGTGCCCACTAAAGAATGTGTAGCTGTGGTCTTGGAGCTGGAAAACCAGCCAAGCCCAAGATCACCAAGTTTTACCACTCCAGTGGCTGTAATGAACACATTAGCTGGTTTGATATCTCTATGCATGACTCTTCGAGAATGCATGTGTTCCAAGGCACTGTAGAGCTGCAAAAAGTACTTCCACAGTTCTCTCAGGAATTGGCCTCTTCTGTTTCTTAAAATGCTTTATCATTCTGGATAGACCACAAGCATCTGCTAATTCCAAAACTATATCTAACACATTATCTTCAATAAATGATGCATAATATTTTTTATTTAATAAATGTGAATTTACAAAGTGCAACTTTTGCATTGTTGCGGCCCCCCCCCACCTCCCTCCCTCCTGCAGTCCTCCCATCTCCACTCCCTCTGTCATCCCACTCTTCATCAAGTTTCATTTTCAATTATCTTTATATACAGATCAACTTAGTATATACTAAGCAAAGGTTTAAACTGACTGCACCCACACAACCGGACAAGATATAGAGTACTGTTTGACTAGTAGTTTTACTGTTAACTCTCATAGTAAAACACATTAAGGACAGAGATCCTACATGGGGAGCATGTGACTCCCATTATTGATTTAACAATTGACACTCTTATTTATGATGTCTTAATCACCCGAGGCTCTTGTCATGAGCTGTCGAGGCTATGGAGGCCCCTTGAGTTCACCAACTCTGAACTTGTTTAGTCAGTCACAGTGGAGGTTCCTTCCTCCCTTCAGAGAAAGGTGGCTCCTTCCTTGATGGCCTGTTCTTTCTGCTGGGGTCTTGTTCACTGAGACCTTTCATTCAGGTTGTTTTTGCCACAGTGTCATGGCTTTCCATGCCTGTGAGACTCTCATGGGCCTTTTAGATGCATAATACTTAATTACATTTGGATGGTTGAGTTGCTTAAGGAGGTCTATTTCTTTGATGCAATCAGCAAGTGCTTTGACATACATCAAATCAAATATCTGTACTTTTTTTTTAAAGCTACCGGTACTCCATCCAAGAGACAGGCTGCTCTATAAACTTCATTAAATTGTCCCCAATTTTCTTTTCTATTCAAAAGTTGGCTAATGTGTAATAGCCCATATCTGGTCATAAGGCTTTCTATATTTGGAACTGAGAAAAAGAGGGCCCTTGCATTCCTTGTGATTGCTCATCCATGGTCTGAAGCAACAGAAACTTAGAATTCATAAAGTTGGGAGTTTCCCTCTGTGAGGCACCCAGGGCAGGCAGGTGGCTCAGCAAGACACCACCCCACAGGGGCCCACTGGGCTGGAGGTTGTAGCTGCAAAGCCCTGAACTGATTGGCCACCTCCCACCATGCTGCCCCAGTGGATGCTGCCAGCAACAGTACCCACCCTGTGCAGGGCACGGTGCATCCAGAGCCATCCTTGCACAACTCCAACTCCTTTGTGGCCGCCGCTGCTGCTGTCAGGAGTGTTGAGGCCATTTACATTCAATGTGACTATTGATAAGTAATGCCATATTTCCATGTGTAACACATCTTCAAGCATCTTTGCAGGGCTCAACAAGTAGTGACAAATCCTCTACATTTCTGTTTATTATGAAAGGTCTTTATTTCACCTTCATTCACAAATGAGAGCTTTGCATGGTATAATATTCTGGGATGACAGTTTTTTTCTTTTAGGACTTGAGCTATATCTTGCCATTCTGTCCTAGCCTGCAGGCTTTCTGCTGAGAAGTCTGCTGTGAATCTAATTGGAGATTCTCTGAAAATAATCTGGTGTATCTCTTTTGCACATGTTAGAATCTTCTCTTTATGTTTCACTGTGGTTAGCTTGATTACAATGTGTTGTGGTGATGATCTTTTCTGGTCATCTCTATTGGGAGTTCTGTGTGCTGCCTGCACTTGGACTTCTCTTTCTTTCTCCAAGCCTGGGAAATTTTCTGCTAGTATTTTACAAAAATGCCTTCTCATCCTTTCTCTCTCTCCATGCTTTCAGCAACTCCTCAAATCCAAATGTTGGTTTTTTTTTTTTTTAAATAGTATCCTGTAGATTTCCAACAGTGTTTTTTAAATTTCTAATTTCCTCTTCTTGTCTTTGGTTTGATTTATACTTTCCTATGCTCTGTCTTCCAAGTCTGATATTCTCTCTTCTGCCTCACTGATTCTATTTTTAAGGCTCACCACTACATTTATTATTTGTTCTATTGAATTCTTCATTTCATTTTGATCCCTCCTTAAGATTTCAATTTTGTGGTAGAGATTTTCTTTCATGTCTTGCATGGATTTCTGTAGTTTGTGTGTTTGCTTTTGATTACTTCTATGTAATCTTATGATCAATTTTTGAGTTCCATTTCTTGCATTTCTTCTATATCATTATCTTTATAATCTAGTATTGAAGTGTTGTGTTCTTTTGGGAGCATTATGATGTCTTCTTTATTCTTGTTTCTTGGATTCTTGCATTTGTTGTTCAGCATTTGTGAAGATACTCTTTGGTTTTATTTTTTCTGCTGTGGCAGCTTTTATTGTTTTGACTCTGTACAAATTCAGTGAATCTCTAGAGGCTTGTAGTGGGTGTAGCCAGAGAGCTCTGTTCAGTTCTCCAGGGTGTGCCTAAGGTGACATACCCAGGTTTGGTGTGGTAAATCTTATCTTTTTTCAATCAAAAAGGAGTTATATTCTGTTCAGCTGAGCTCTTCACTTTAATGAATTTCAGTGCCTGAGTGCTAGATCAAGTGGGTATATTTGTTCTGTCCCAAGGCCAACAAAAAGGATTTGTGCTCCCATGTAGGACCTCTGTCCTTAATAAGTTGTACTATGGGAATTAACATCAAACTAGTCTTCAAACACCAGTTTAGCTGGGAGCCTAGAAAAAGTGCTCAGGCATGCAATATTGTGAAAAATTAGTTCTAAGTAATATGGAAGCTAACCCAGACAAAACAGAAGTCCAGCAAATCACTCAGCCTCACTGAAACTACCAGCAGTCACACCAAACATATTCTATTAAATCTGTTTATAATGAGATTTAATTTGATGAACATTTGTAAGAAGCTGAGGGGACTTAGGGATGAAGAGCTATTCTCAATGAATAGTAATAGAGGTGGAATGGATTACTTGCACAGTTATTATCTAGATGGGAAATAAAAGAGCTATTGCAGCTAGATGCATCATAGCATTTGTAGACCTGTTACCAAGTGATGGTTATGCAACCTAGGTAAATTGTTCATCCTGAGTGTATTCTGAGGAATGAGCTGAATGTAAATCAGATTTATGTAAATCAAAAAAGGACTTTGTAAATTGGAAGATAATAAAAATGAGGGTCACCTGTAGGAGTGAGGAATAATACAACCAAAAATGCTGTAAAAGTCATTGTAAAGTTACATTAATACAAAAGTGTACTACATTTATGGTCCTGCTTCTCTGTTGCAATGGGCACCACCCAGATAGACATCTTTCCAAGTTCTTGTCTCTAGGCAATTAGGAATTGAATGAAGAAGAGTAGAAAAGGGGAATCATGAATGAAAGAGAGATTATGCACTCAGTAATACAGGAAAATTCAGGAGATAAGTAGTGTTGCAATTTATAGGATTTGACATTGTCCCTTTGAAGAATGAGGGTGATGTGTGGGACAACATCTACTTGAGTATTCAAATAGACCTTGGGTACTGGAGTCTAATTCAGATATATACACAGATAAGTTGAAATTTCTTATGGGTATTGTGGGGAGCAACCCGGACTGGACTGAGTTACTGGAATTAAGACTTATTCTATGCATCTGCTCTCCCACAATATGGTGCTGGGAGAGGAGAAAACAGCTTCTACGCAGCTGCCTCTTGCCAACTTGAGTGATGACCTCCAGGAGCTGATCCTGCTCCTGATTGGAGGAGAGCAGCGTACTCGGCGTGTGGGCAGCCAAGTTAGGATTGGCGGAGGAGGACTATAAAGGAGGAGAGAGAGAACATGCACCGGGAACATCTAAGAGGAACATCTAAGGGGAACATCTGAGGGAACACCTGTGCAGCCCCCGAGAGAGCCGGCCGGCGGTGTGCCGCTCCCCCGCGGAAGTGGGGAATGTGGCAGGGGGAACCGCCCTTCCACGGAGGTGGAAGGGACGGTAGCCAACCCGGGAAGAACCAGCAGCAAACCCGGGGAGGGCCAAGCAGACAAAAGAACAGCGCAGGGTCCTGTGTCGTTCCTCCACGAAGATGGGGAGCGACAGGTATATAGGTCACCAGAAGCTCATTCCCTTTTGCTGCATACAACACTTACCCTCCAGGGCTAGAGTACACTATGATGGCTGGAACATGTTGCACTTGACATTCCTATGGTCACATGACTGGTTTGCACTACAATAATGTGGGGAAAGAATCCTGGGTGGACAACAAAGCAGCTATAAAACAACTTTATAATTGATAAAGATGGTATTCCAAATAACTGTTGCAATAACTGTTATTCACCTGTTGCAACTTTAAATATTTATTAACAAAATTTACACATGAGAGCACAGTTCATATATTTGGTCCCATTCACAAAAATGAGAAACCAGAACGACAGGTTGTATTAGAGAAAAAATTTCTGAAGAATGGATAACCACTCTCTGTAACAATTCATCATGCAAACTGCTCAATACTTGCTATGATGTGATTCCAAAGAATTCCTCCAAACACATCACATTTCAGGGACTTTTCTCTGTAATCTTGTTATGTTTTGTGGAAGTTTGCCTAATAATAATAATATAATCCCATTACAATACGGTCATAGGATTTTTTCCTTTGTTTGAATTGTCAGTCATTGAGAGATGACTTATGGTACATAACTTTTCTATGCATGCATGTTTTCTCATTTCTGAGTCTCTTCATGTGAACTGATTTGTGGCAGAAGAATTTTGCACATTCATTAAACTGATATTTTTTGTATGAATCCTCTGGTGTTTGTTGATGTTTAATTTCTGGCTAAAGGTTTTTTCATATCTGCTGTACTTGAAGGATATCTCCTTTTTTGAGTTCTATATTTATGCAAGCCTGAATTCCAGGAAATATATATTTCCACATTCATTACACTGCTAAGAAACTCCCAGTGTGAATTCTCTGATATATAATGATTGATTTCTGACAAATGGCTTTTTTCACACTGATAAAATTTCGGGCCTTTCTTCTTTATGGGAGTGCCTATTGTATGGGATGTGATTTCCAGCAAAAGACTCTGTCACATGGTCACATTGATTTTGGAAAAAGTCCTTCACATTCATTATATTCTTAAGTTCTCTATCTTATGTGAATTCCATGTGTTATGAGGTATTGCTTCTGACAAAAGGCTTTCCCACATTTATTACAAGATTTCCACCTTGTAATAAATTCTCTGATGTTATATGGCGTGATTTTGACAGAATTTTCCAATACTCCTTACATTCATAAAGTTTCTCCCCCCATGTGAATTCTCTGAAATTTTATGAGGTGTTACTTATGGATAAAGGCCTTTCCATATGTATTATATTCAAAGTGTTTTCCCCTACATGAATTAGATTATGTGCAATGAGGAAAAGGCTTTTCAAGTCATTATGTCCAAAAAGTTTCTCTTCATGTGAATTTTCTGATGCATTCTGAGATGTGACTTATTGCCAAGGGCTTTTCTACAGTCATGAGGATTCTCCTCAGTGTGAATTCTCTGCCATGATATGAGCTATGATTTATAACAAAATGCTTTCCCACACTCATTAGATTCATAAGGTTTCTGCCCTGTGGGAATTCTGTTTTGACATAAGGTACAATTTATAGCAAAAGATTTTTCCACAGTCATTACATTCATGAGGTTATTTCCCTGTGTGTATTCTCTAGGTGCATTCCGAGTTGGAACTTATGACCAAAAGCTTTCCACAGTCATTACATTCATAAGGTTTCTCTCATGGGTGAATTCTCTGATGCATGATGAGGGTTGACTTATGGCCAAATGCTTTTCCAGTCATTACATTCATGAGATTTCTGCCCTGTGTGAATTCTCTGATGTGATAGGAGGTGTGATTTTGGCCAAAGGCTTTTCCACAGTCATTACATGTATGTTTCTCACAGGTTGCTCCCCTGTGTGAATTTGCTGATGTATGAGGAGGGCTGACTTATGGCCAAATGCTTTTCAACAATCATTACATTCATGAGGTTTCTTCCCTGTGTGAATTTGCTGATGGCTTATGAGGTGTGATTTTTGTGTAAAGGTTTTTCCACAGTCATTACATTCATGAGGTTTCTCCCCTGTGTGAATTCTTTGATGCACTATGAGATTTGACTTTTGTCCAAAGGCTTTTCCACAGTCATTACATTCATGAGGCTTCTCCCCTGTGTGAATTCTTTGATGCACTATGAGGGTTGACTTATGGCCAAAGGCTTTTCCACAGTCATTACATACATGAGGTTTCTCTCCTGTGTGAATCTGCTGATGTTTCATGAGGTCTGATTTTTGTCCAAATGCTTTTCCACAGCCATTACATTCATATGGTTTCTCGCCTGTGTGAATTCTTTGATGCATGATGAGGGTTGACTTTTTTCCAAAGGCTTTTCCACAGTAATTACATTCATGAGGTTTCTCCCCTGTATGAATTTGCTGATGTATGAGGAGGGATGACTTATGGCCAAAGGCTTTTCCACAGTCATTACATTCATGAGGTTTCTCCCCTGTGTGAATTTGCTGATGTTTCATGAGCTCTGACTTTCGTACAAAGTTTTTCCCACAGTCATTGCATTCATGAGGTTTCTCTCCTGTGTGAATTCTCTGGTGCATTATGAGGTTTGGCTTTTGTCCAAAGGCTTTCCCACAGTCATTACATGCATAAGGTTTCTCCCCTGTGTGAATTCTCTGGTGAATCATGAGGTTTGATTTACGGCCAAATGTTTTCCCACAGTCATTACATTCATGAGGTTTCTCCCCTGTGTGAATTCGCTGGTGTGATATGAGGTTTGACTTTTGTCCAAAGGCTTTTACACAGCCATTACATTCATGAGGTTTCTCCCCTGTGTGAATTCGCTGATGTATGAGGAGGGCTGACTTACGGCCAAAGGCTTTTCCACAATCATTACATTCATGAGGTTTCTCCCCTCTGTGAATTCGCTGGTGTATGAGGAGGGATGACTTATGGCCAAAGGCTTTTCCACAGTCATTACATTTATAAGGTTTCTCACTTGAGTGAATTCTCTGATGTTTCATAAGGCCTGACTTATGGCCAAAGGCTTTTCCACAGTCATTACATTCATGAGGTTTCTCTCCTGTGTGAATTATCTGGTGTATTATGAGGTTTGACTTTTGTCCAAAGGCTTTTCCACAGTCATTACATTCATAGGGTTTCTCCCCTGTGTGAATTCGCTGATGTATGAGGAGGGATGACTTACGGCCAAAGGCTTTTCCACAATGAAGGCATTCATAAAGTTTCTCTCCTGTGTGAATTTTCTGATGTATGAGGAGGGCTGACTTATGGCCAAATGCTTTTCCACAGCCATTACATTCATGAGGTTTCTCCCCTGTGTGAATTCTCTCATGCTTTATGAGGTTTGGCTTTTGTCCAAAAGCTTTTCCACAGTCATTACTTTCATAAGGTGAATTAGAGATTAGTGATTTTCCACAAGGTTTACATGTGTAGAGTTTTCCCATTATATGTGGTCTCTGATTTATCGCAAGATATGATTGGTGAATGACAGGTTCAACATACCTAATGTATTCATAAAATTTCTCTTTTGTGTGGGTTTGTTGATGCATATTGAGGCTAGAATTTTCATGGATAGCTTTTTCTATATGAGTTCCTTTTCCAAAAGTGACAGCTGCCTTATTACAGTATTCTCCCATATGAACCCTCTCAGATTTACAGAACATCTTCCTTGTGAAGACTTTTCCTTGTCCAATGGGTCCAAATGGCTGCTTCATGATGTGAATCTTGTCATGCTGACCAAGAGGCTCACAGAACTGGAGAGAATTTCCAGGTACCTCAGTGTTACCAAATTTCTCTCTAGCCGGTAGTTCATCAGGTCCATTGCAGGGATACACAGTGTTACATATATTGCATTCCTCAGGCTTCAATCCTGAATAGGTTCCCTTTTTAATAATCACTGTTGGAATATGGCTTGAATTTAAACTAAGTGTTTTTTTTAATTCAACTCTCTTGGAGGCTGATGTCTTGTTATTTTTCATAAAATCCTGATTCAGATTTTTGTCCTGACTTTTCTGGTTGATCCTAATCAGGTCACCCCTTTCCATGCCAACTGAAATGAGAAAAAAGCAATCATGTCACTGAATCACATGTAACTGTTTCTCCTGGCATGCTCATATAAAGGGAATGAAGTTACTTGTTATCCAAGTGGTATAAGATTTTCACAAAATCAGTACGAGATACTTATTTATGACCATTATATGGTTTTTCTCCTTAATACTGTAATATACTAAACTGTACCATAAGGTTTCCCAATGTTCAAACATGAACCTGTTTACTAATAGAATTTTTCAAGTATGGCAGAATGACTTTTGTGCTAAGATGTGTGGGATACCTGAATCTCAAAACAGTGTCAGTTTGAGCCCTGGCTACTCTGTTTTCAATACAGCTCTCTGCCTATGTAAATTGGGAGGCAGAAGATAATGGTTCATGTGCCTGTGATACACCAGGGGACCTGTGATACACCAGGGAAGACTAGGTGGAATTCTAGAGTTTCAGCTTCAGACTAGTTAGACCTAAGTGTTGTAGGCATCTGGGGAGTGAACTAATAGAGGACCTCTTTCTCTTTCTCCTCCCACTATCACTGCCTTTCACAAAGATGAAATAACTATAAAATATTTTAAAGAATGGACAAATATTTAATAAAAATATTCACCCACTATCTAGCAACCAGTTTTTTCCCTGTCCTTTTTCTCCAGTTTATTTTTATAGAAATTGTGTGTTTTGTGCTTCTCTGATATTTCAACCATAAACATGAGAAAGTTTCACTGGATCATTTACTTGCAGGTGGAGAAGAGTGAAATGCGTCTGTACTTTAAGCAGGACCATATTTAAGGAATAGGATTTGAATCTATGATTTTATCATGTTCAGTTTCCTAGGTAAACATCATTTGTGGGATTTATCAAATGAAAAACTACTTTGTTTTTACTCTATGACAGCTTCCCCAAATTCCTAAGGACACCTGACACCTTCAGCTTCTCAGAAGTACAACAGGTACAGAAAAGTCCCAATATACCACCTGAGTTATACACTCCCAATCAGTTTGAAGAATTTGTTTCTGCAAACCAGGATGTGCTCATCTTCTTTGAAAAGTGTTTTCTAGCTCATTCTGAAATCATCAATGCTGGTTATCTCCTCTCAATTCTTTCTATAAATAATTCTGTGTTATAATTTGAATTCTGGAAGCTTTTGATCAGTTGCCTCTTATTTTCACAGAAAGCTTAATTTCCTATGCCTTTCTTATCTTTTTTTGTTTGCTTGTTTTTCAATGATACTGAAAAATAAGAGAAAGAAGTCATAATTTATACTCCACCCCTAAAGAAATCTGAGCCACTCAACATAAACCCATGAGGCTACTTGACTTTGGGTCTAAGAATCTCATTACTTTCTTGGTGAGTCGAGGATCACTTATTTTCATGTTTTTATACAAGTTCATGCTCAGTTTTATTTAAAAAAAAAAAGATTTATTTTATTTATTTGATAGCTAGAGTTATAGAGAGAAGTAGAAGAAAAAGAGAGAAGTCTTCTATTTGTTGGTTCACTCCCCACATGGACACAACAACCAAGGCTGGGCCAAGATGAAGCCAGGAGCCAGGAGTTTCTTTCATGTCTCCCACATGGGTGCAGGGAGCCAAGGAATTGGGCCATCCTCTGCTCCTGTCTTGGGTGCATTAGCAGAGAGCTGGATTAGAAGAGGACCAGTGGGACTCGAACTGGCACCCATATAGGATGCTAGTGCTGCAGGGGGAGCTTTAACACACTGCACCACAGTGTCATTCCTAGCTTCATAATTTCTGATGTCTCAGTACAGTGCCATTCTTAGCTTCATAATTTCTGATGTCATGCACAAAGGCTTACTCATGACCATCTTTTAGCATTTAAATGTTTACTTACTTGAGAGTCAGAGAGACACAATGAGAGATAGAGAGAATGAAACAGGTTTGGCAGCCACAGGCTCAATGTTTCTAACTACCATTTTCTTATTTATTTGAGAGGCACAGAGGAAAAATAAAGAGAGAGAAAGAGATTAAGAAAGAGAATTCACATTTATTGATTCAGTCCTGATATGCTTAAAACAGCAAGTTCTATGCCTGGGCAAAATCATGAGTGAGAACTCAATCTGAGCAATATGTTAGAAATATGTTTCTGGGGCTGGCACTGTGGTGTAGGGGGTAAACCACCACCTGCAGTGCTGGCATCACATATGGTGCCAGTTCGAGTCCCAGCTGCTCCACTTCCAATCTAGTTCTCTGCTATGGCCTTGGAAAACAGCAGAAGATGGCCCAAGTCTTTGTGTCCCTGCAACCATGTGGGAGACCATGAAGAAGCTCCTGGCTCCTGGCTTTGGATCTGCACAGCTCCAGCTATTGCAGCCAACTGGGGAGAGAACCAGCGAATGAAAGACCTGTTTCTTTCTCTCTCTCTTTCTTTCTCTCCTTCTTGTCTTTCTCTGACTTTTGAATAAATAATAAATCTTAAAAAAACCGAAAAAATATTAATCTTAAAAAAAGAAATAGGTTTCTGTAGATGCCTAATTAACAAGCACTGAAGGAACTAATAAGTGCATGAAGGAAAAGGTATGAAAGTGTAGAGAAGGACATGTTAGAATTTGGGGAATGCATCAAACCTAGATAAAAGCCTTAGTAACATCAGAAAATGATTGGAATTTTTCTTAAATCAAAGAACATTTTTAACCAAGAACAAATGAGTTAGAAAGATACTGGTATCTCTAAATAGTCTAGAATGCCTGTGTCTGATGCACAAAACCAGCTGTCATCAGGATCTGCACACTTTCTGCCTTGGCCTACCTGTCCCTTACATGCAGACTGACCTGAAAGGCTCTGATTCAGGCATTCGTCCACCATCCATGGCTCTGCTCCTTGCTCCAACTTGCAGATCAAGTCAGGTTTGGTAATGCAGTGCCCTATTAATGGAAACAATGTAAGACTTTGTGAAATCACTACCTTGGGTTATTTAAAGGACTGCAGCTTGGTCCAGGAGCTATGCAACAAATGTTCCAATTTGAATCTTTTGCTAGATGGTAAATATTCAGATTATCCATGGACTCAAATTCTTTTTTTTTAATTTTTAACTTTTATTTAATGAATATAAATTTCTAAAGTACAGCTTATGGATTACAATGGCTGCCCCCCATAACGTCCCTCCCACCTGCAACCCTCCCCTTTCCCATTCCCTCTCCCCTTCCATTCACATCAAGATTCATTTTCGATTCTCTTTATATACAGAGGATCAGTTTAGCATATGTTAAGTAAAGATTTCAACAGTTTGCTCCCACACAGAAACATAAAGTGAAAAATACTGTTTGAGTACTTGTTATAGCATTAAATCTCAATGTACAGCACACTAAGCACAGAGATCCTACATGAGGAGTAAGTGCACAGTGACTCCTGTTGTTGACTTAACAAATTGACACTCTTGTTTATGGCATCAGTAATCACCCTAGGCTCTTGTCATGAGCTGCCAAGGCTATGGAAGCCCCCTGAATTCACTGACTCTGATCATATTTAGACAAGGCCATGGTCAAAGTGGAAGTTCTCTCCTCCCTTCAGAGAAAGGTACCTCCTTCTTTGATGACCCGTTCTTTCCACTGGGATCTCACTCACAGAGATCTTTCATTTAGGTTTTTTTTTTTTTTTTTTCCCCAGAGTGTCTTGGCTTTCCATGCCTGAAATACTCTCATGGGCTTTTCAGCCGGATCTGCATGCCTTAAGGGCTGAGTCTGCATGGACTCAAATTCTATACCTGCCCATTATTAAACTTTATAAAGTGTTCACTTATTTGTCAATAGCAAGAAAATATTATCACTGGGCATGTGATTGGTGTCACTCACCCAAGGAGAACAGGCTGCTGTAGATCTCCAGCATCACATCTCTGTATAGGATTTTCTGAGCATTGTTCATTTTCTGCCATTCCTCCCAGGTAAAGTACACAGCCAGGTCTTCAAATGCTATCATCACCTGTAACAGTACACTTCCAGTCAGCATATTAACTGTGTCACAAAACAAACATTGACAATTGTGTATGGATATGAAGGAAAAAAGAAAGGATGTGGTTTCACTTAGATTTGTTGAATGTTTAGAAAGCCACACAAAGGATTCAAACCTATGATCTACAGGCTGTGAAAAATGCCCAGCTTGAGGAAAACAGGAAGTTCAAATTACAAAGGCCACATCTGTCAAGGGGAATTGCACAGCAGGCTAAAAGAGGGGCAATATAGACTCTTGAATGGGCAATGTTAGGAAGAAGTATGTAGAAGCATTGAGGAAAAAAGGCAAAAAAAAAAAATCAGTGAAACTATGATAAGAATGAACAGAAAAGAATTTCTAGGAAAACACCATGCACATCACTTCTAATATGTCAAAAAAATATATTAAAAAACAGGGCAGACATTTAGCTTAGTGTTTATGATGCCACCTCAGAGTGTCAACATTGGATTTTCAATGTCAGCTCCAGTTTTTAGCTCCCAGATAATGCAAACCTGGGGAAGCAGTGGTGATGTCACCAATGAAGGAGGCCTAGATTCCACTCCTCAATCCTGGCTTCAGTCCTGCCCCACCTCTGCTTGCTATGGCTATTTAGGGAATGAATTAATGTGTGGAAGCTCTCTATCTCTCAGTCCATCAACTTCTTTCTCTATCAAGCTAATAAATATTTTTAAGTAAGAGAGAAGATACAGGTAAAAGACAAAGAATAGAAATTAGCTTTTGCCCTAGTCTATGATTATTCTACTGATAAACATTTGAAATAACATTTTACAGAATTAAAGTGAAAGCAATGGAATTACTTGCTCAAAACATTCAAATGATAAACATTTGAAATAAAATTATAAATAATTAAAGTGAAAGCACTGGAATTATTTTCCACAAAAAGGAACCTGGGAATGTCTGCAGTACAATCTGTTTGTGACTCACAGAAAAACTCAAGGGGTTTCCATAGCCTAGACAGCTTATAGCAAGAGTCTCGGGTGATTGCTGATGTCATAAATAAGAGTGCCAATTGTTAAATCAACAACGGGAGTCACTGAGTACAGGCTCCCCATGTAGGATCTCTGTCCTTAATGTGTTTTACTATGAAACTTAAAAACAACACTACTAGTTGAACAATGCCCTATACCTTGTGCAGTTGTGTGAGTGCAGCCTGTTGAAATCCTTGCTTTGTGTATACTAAGTTGATCTTCTGCATATGAAGGTAATTGAAAATGAAACTTGATGAAGGGTGGGATGGGAGAGGGAGAAGGAGAGGGGAGGGCTGCGGGAGGGAGGGAGCTGGGGGGGCACAACAATACAAAAGTTGCACTTTGTAAATTCACATTTATTAAATAATAAAAATAAAAGAACCTGCAATAGTCACCAGAATTGTGATGCAGCAGGCTAAGCCTCCACCATCACTGCTGGCATCCCATGTAAACAGAGGATTTGAGTCCTGGCTGCTCCACTTCCAATCCAGCTCCCTGTTAATGTGACTGAAAGAGCAGTGAAAGATGGCCCGAGTATTTGGACCCTTCCACCAATATGGGACCTCAGAGTGTCAATGTTGGATTTTCCTACATGGAGTTCCAGGCTCTTGGCTTTGGCCTGGCTCAGTCCCAGCCATTGTGGGATAGAAGATATCTCTTTGTTTCTCCCTGTATCTCCCAATCTCTATAAGTCTGCCTTTCAAATAAATAAATAAATCTTAAAAAATAAATGAGCCTCCAGTAGATTCTTTTCTCCACACATTTCTTATCCTATTCCTGAAACCAATTCAGCTTCTCCAAGGTATTAAGGACTCCATTAGTCTAACAATTCAAAACTAAACTTAACTGATTTGTGTTTAGTACTAGGTAACTTGCTCTTGCAGAATGCTAAGTGTTTACTTCATAGGTAGCACTAAAACACTGCTCAGTACATCATCTATGTGACAATAAAGACTGTTTCAGACATCATGGCCCCCAAAATGTAGCATTTTGTGCTCTTTGTTTCAATTCAATACATGTAACAAATATATATTTTTCTATGGCAACAGAAAGACAAGAGACCAAATTGCATTATTATAGATAACAGTAATGTTTCATAATCATGCCAAATTAATCATTTATTTCTGTACATTCCTTGAGAACAAATTGTATGTTTATTTTTCCATTTTAATTAACTAGTATACTGGGGTTGGCATTGTGGGGTATAGCAGGTAAAGCCACTGCCTGCAGTGGTGGCATCCCATATTGGTGCCAGTTTGAATCCAAGGTGCTCTGCTTCTGATCCAGCTCTCTGCTATGGCCTGGGAAAGCAGTAGAAGACAGCCTAAGTCCTTGAAGCCCTGCACCCTTGTGGAAGACCCAGAAGAAGCTCCTCACTTCTGGCTTTGGATCAGCACAGCTCCAGCCACTGTGGAAAACTGGGGAGTAATCAGCCATTGGAAGACTCTCACTCTCTCTCTCTCTCCCAATCTGCCTCTCTGTAACTCTTTCAAATAAATAAATCTAAAAAAAATAAATAAATAAACTAGTGTTAATCTCCTAAAATTAGAACTGATAACAAGCTGGGGAATAATTAAAAAATTTTTAAAAATAATTAAAAAAACCACTGTAGGTGATATATTAATTTTCTTTGCTCATAGAAATATGTGGAGGACCCAGAATCATACCTGGAAGAGAAGGTGAATGGAAGGAGTTCAAAGAGAACTCTGGGGGCCAGAACGGTAGCATAATGGGTAAAGCTGCTGCCTGCAGTGCCAGCATTCCATATGGAAGCTGGTTCAAGTCCCAGCTGCTCAATGTACAGTCTAGCTTTCTGCTATGGCTAGGGAAGCAGTGGAAGATGATCCAAGTCCCTGGGCTCCTGCACCTGCATGGGAGACACAGAAGAAGCTCTTGGCTCTTGGCTTTGGATCTTCTGTGTTTCCCACATGGGTGCAGGGACCCAAGGACTTGGGCCATCTTCTACTGTTTTCCCAGGCCATAGGAGAGAGCTGGATCAGAAGTAGAGCATCCAGGACTAGAACTGGCATCCTGGTACTGCAGGTGGTGGATTTACCTGCTACACCACAGCACAAGCCCCAGAAATAGACAATTTGTAAAGTATTTGCCTTCTCAGATTTTCTTTTTCTGACAGTTATCTTCTGAAAAACCCTGGGGCCTGCCTATGGAAGAGATAATATATAGCCAAGGTTCACCACAAATCCCCAGACACTTAAGTGAAGCCTCAATCAGTTCCCCAAATGACTAAACTCTCATTTCTGCTCCTGGACTGATCATAGGAACTGTGCAGCTGAGGGCAGCCCATAACACGGAGTCAGAACTGCAAATCAAATGACTATTTGTTAAGCCATTGTGTTTTCTGATTTGTCCTACATCAAATGCTGATACATACCAGTAAGTATGGCAGAAAGTTGAATTACATGCAAACTACAATGCATACAACTTCAAAATTTCATTTAGAAGTTTTCATAAAACAGGGCCAGCATTGGCACATAGCAAGTAAACCTGCCATCTGCAATGCAAGCACCCAATATGAGCACTGGTTCATGTTCTGGCTGTTCTACTTTTGATCTAGCTTCCTGCTGTTGGCATAAGAAAAGCAGATGGAAGACCTGTCTCTCCTCTATATATAACATTTTCAAATAAATTTTTAAAAAACTTAGTAAAAAGCTCATATACACACAATCTTTGCCTATCAATTAGACCTTAGGAAAGCTGCTGACACTAAAAAAAGTTCTGGGAATAATAAAAATAAATTATGTGGAGATAATGAGGTTGTTCTTCAAATTTCTGCTTATATACGGTCATTGTGTTCTTTTGGCTTATATTTTAAGGAACTTATGATCACATGAAGTCTGACTTAGTATAATGTTACTATTTCAGAACAGGATAAAGGTTCACAGTAATTTTCTGTAGTTGCATGAATACTCTATATTGTTCAAAAAGAAATTACTGAAAGAGAGAATTTTTTTTAAACTTTTATTTAATGAATATAAATTTCCAAAGTACAGCTTATGGATTACAATGGCTTCCCCCTCCTGATAACTTCTCTCCTACCCGCAACCCTTCCCTTTCCCTCTCCCTCTCCCTCTCCCTTTCCATTCACATCAAGATTCATTTTTGATTCTCTTTATATACAGAGGATCAGTTTAGCATATGTTAAGTAAAGATTTCAACAGTTTGCTCCCACATAGAAACACAAACTGAAAAATACTGTTTGAGTACTAGTTATAGCATTAAATCACCATGTACAGCACATTAAGCACAGAGATCCTACATGAGGAGTAAGTGCAAAGTGACTCCTGTTGTTGACTTAACAAATTGACACTCTCGTTTATTCAGTATAACTCTCGTTATTCAGTAATCACCCTAGGCTCTTGTCATGAGTTGCCAAGGCTATGGAAGCCTTTTGAGTTCACCGACTTTGATCATATTTAGACAAGGTCGTAATCAAAGTGGAAGTTCTCTCCTCCCTTCATAGAAAGGTACCTCCTTCTTTGATGACCTGTTCTGTCCACTGGGATCTCACTCGCGGAGATCTCTCATTTAGATTTTTTTTGTTTGTTTGTTTTTGCATGTGTGTGTTTTTTTTTTTTTTTTTTTTTTTTTTTTTTTTTTTTTTTTTTTTGCCAGAGTGTCTTGGCTTTCATGCCTGAAATACTCTCATGGGCTTTTCAGCCAGATCCACGTGCCTTAAGGGCTGATTCTGAGGCCAGAGTGCTGTTTAGGACATCTGCCATTCTATGGGTCTGCTGTGTATCTCACTTCCCATGTTGGATCATTCTCTCCCTTTTTGATTCTATCAGCTAGTATTTGCAGACACTAGTCTTGTTTATGTGCTTCCTTTGGCTCTTAGTCCTATCATTATGATCAATTGTGAACAGAAATTGATCACTGGGACTAGTGAGATGGCATTGGTACATGCCACCTTGATGGGATTGAATTGGAATCCCCTGGTATGTTTCTAACTCTACTGTTTGGGGTAAGTCAGCTTGAGCATGT